AAATGCGAACAATAAAAAAAGCAAATTATAAAACGACATTTACTCTGGTCATATAAAATAGTAAATTGTCAAAAAAGGGTAACAAAAATCATGTTTGCAAACAATAAAAGAAGCAACTGAAACAAATATTTTAATTCTATTTATTTTAAAAGTGAATTGTAAAAAAGGTGATAAATTTCATTAAATGCCAACTTTTCTGGTTTTTGCTGAAGCAAATTCGTTGATTATCTCTTCAAAATTTAAACCATTTATTTCATTTTCTTCAATACTCAGCAAAGCCAAGTTCCACAATCGCTGTTGACTCATTGTAGCTCTTAAGTAACTTAATATTAATTTTAACTTACTGAATTATCGCTGAGCAATGAACTCACTTATATTTAGTCAAATTTGAAGAACAACTGGTAAATTAGGAAAAACGGTTTGGTCTCCGTATTTACTTATAAATTTAAGAAGATTTTCTGATGTTAAAATTTTTGTTTCACGTGTAGATAGTAGCGTTTTGTAATCAGATATTTTAAGATATAATTCAGTACCATCAATATCAGAATTCTAGAACTCCACTAAATGATAACATTTTCTGAACATTTTCTGCATCATTGTATTTTCAAATTATCATTTTTTATTATATAATAAATTTTTCAAATCTAGAGTGAATCCGAATTTTTGATCAGCTTTATTTAGTCGTGTCAACCTGTCAATAAACTCTAAATATACTGTCGGCAGCACTTTTCAAAATTCTTCGTAGTTCTTCCTCGGCCTTCAGGCCAACGTCTATACATATTTCACCAGGCATTCATTTATTTCTTCTCATTTGTCTTTCAATTTCCTCGTTGCATTGTTTGCACAGGTTTTTTCCCGTTTCAATTAACAATCATTTTTTCATTGAATAACTGATTTTTAAGGGCCTCAATATCCTTGGCTGCGTCATAAAAATTCATTTTAGGAATCTGTAGCCTCTTTTGAATACGGTCAACCTCTCAAAGTAAAAAAGTTGAAAAAAAAATTCTTTGATGTAAGAAAGAATTTGCCTCAGATCTTTTTTTAAATAGTCTGTGAGGCATCGTTTATTAATTGCTCAAGTACTATAAATATAGCGTCCAAATGATTTTCATTATAGGTTTTGTGGCTTCAGTTCTCGAACTCCATCTCTTTTCAGATTCTGATTTAAGAGAAACAGGGACACTATTTTTCAATTTCTTCCATCTTTGTGTTGGAAAAGCATACAGCTCTTCAATTATTCCAAAAATGTTATCATTGCAATATCTTCTTTGGCTGCATTTACACCCACTAAGTTTAAGGAATGGTTATAACAATTTACAAAATTTGTTGAAGGATTCAATTTCCTTATAAGTTCACTGACACCACTTTTATGACCTGTCATCATAATATTAGCGTTGTAGTAGCAGTGAGATCAACAATTTTTAAAATCTATTTTGTCTTCTTTTAATCTACTAGTAAAAGTTTTACTAAACTTTTAGCAATTTTTTTTTCAATTTGTATACAACTGAGAAAATATTCTATTATTTGAACTGTCTTGTTTTCGTAGTCAACATCAACATATCTTACAACTTGAAACATTTGTTCTCGATGGGAAATATCAGGAGTTGAATCAAATAAAAGTCCATAGTATTTTGCATTGTGAATTTTCGCAACAGAGAATTTCGAACACAGTTAGCCATTAAATGAATAAATTCGTTTTGTATTTGTAGAGATAAATAAAAAATATTTTTGTTGCCTACTGTAACATCATTTAAATGTTGCTTCAATAATGTTTATATTTTATATACTTCGAATTTTGCCAATTGTTCAATTTAAGCTATTGATTTTATATTTTAAAATAAAATCAAAAAACTTGAAAACGTGTCTTCTTCGTGTTAAAATTTTCAAATTGGCGATCGAAAATCGTACAAACACTAATAATACAAGGTGCGTTTTGAAAAAAATTTGCCTTTAAACCAAAACTTGTATTCATTTAGGCGCCCAAATACCAAAGACTACTAGTTTATATTTATTTCCAAATCAAGTATTCACAGACTGATATATTTTGGCTAAATAGATAATTTTAATAAAAATATTTTTTCAATATCTTATGTAATTTGCTTAAATGTTTTTAATAATCTTTGATAAGATGTTATTTATTAATAGAAAAATTTCAAAATGCGCCTCATTTGAAATGGCGCCCCGGGCAACTGCCAAGGCTGCCCCCTCGCTAGGCCACTGCAGCGCCAGCACATAGGGCGGTTGATTGCCTCAATTTAATACTTACTATGCTTAAAGATTATCAATCTACCCTGTGGTGTGGTGCTAGTTCATGCGTGCAAATGATTGATGCGGAAACGAGATCAGTGCGCTGTTTTAACTTCTTTTAAAATTTAACGTAAGCTGCTCTATAATATACGCGTGTCATTGCATACAATATTTTAATTTTCAATATATATATATATATATATATATATATATTTGGGTGGTCCCCAAAATGAAAAAGTTTTAAATTTTTTGTCTTACCCTCTAATTTTGTTACCACCCATTAGGTAATACTTGGTGTAAAATCTTAGGTCAATTGGTCAATATTTAGAGATCGCCCAAGGGCTCTAAAGTTTTACTTTATGGGCCTAATAATTAATCCAAATTGCTAATACAACGTTTTTGTTTTTTATTAACAGATCTTTGTCTGAAAAAATATACGACATGGCTGAGTCAACAAGAAAGAAGCAGGATATTTATCTTCTAGGCCAGCCTCTAAGAACTGCCATTCTGGGTAACAAGTTACCAGCGAAAGGTGAAGTGATGCGTCGCTTTCTGTACATTCATTTGTAGAGAAAATGACAGCTGTTATAAGAGAGGTACTTCCAATATGGCAACGGGCCAGAATTCTTACAACTCAAGAATACAACGCCATTAAGAAGCTGGATAATATGTTTAAACTGTGGCAAGGATTAAAGAAACATTCTAAGAGAAACTCAAATGCTCAAAGACGTCAAGAACAAGCATTCGTTCATTCACGAAAAGATCTGTTTGATATAGCACATGCTAATGCTATTGAACTGATTCAGATACAAGAAGAAAGAGAATTTTTGCTGGCACAAAGGGAACCGGGACGGCGTGGTTATATGAGTGGTGTAGATAAGAATCTGGCGCTGAAAGAGGCACGCTCGTATGAAAGGAAAAGAAGACAGGAGAACTACAAATTATAGTCAGTCCAGGCGCAGGAAGAGATCACTGCCGGTGCATGTTCAGCTGAAATAGACCACAGTTCCAGTGATTCATCGTCAGAATGTGAATCAGAAGAAGACAACATTGCCAAACGTGTGCAGGTAAAACGTCCACATTGTGCAGTTAGCAGGGAAACTGCTGCAGCACTTGATCGAACGAAGACTTCTGATAGAAAGGCGACGTACATCACCTTGGCTTAAATGCTGGAAACCTTGCCATCAATAGATCCTCAATTCGACGAGCAAGGCATAAGCATCGTCAAGAACTTGCGTTGGAAATTCGAACGAATTTTTCTCCAGACGTTCCTTTGGCTGTCCATTGGGATGGGAAGCTCTTACTTGATTTGACCGGTAATTAGAAAGTTGATCGTCTTCCATTGTTGTTGCAGGAGCGGGAGTTGAAAAGCTCTTATCAGTTCCAAAACTAGAATCTGGTACAGGGGAGAGACAGGCTACAGCAGTGCACGAATGCCTATTAGAAGTCTGTTAAGGCATTAGTGTTCGTAATACTGGAAAGAAAAATGGAGCATGCACCCTGCTGCAACAAAAATTAGGGCGTAACGTGCTTCACATAGCTTGCCGTCACCACATATCTGAAATAATACTTGAGCATGCGTTTTCTGCATGCATGTCGTCTAATACGTCAGGTCCAGAAATAGCACTCTTCTTGCGCTTTCGAAATGAGTTCAACAGCATTAACCAAGCTGATTACCATACAATGATGAAAGCATGAACAGCAAAGTTGAACAACACGAAGAAGGTATCGTTAGCTTTTGCCTAACGCAACTTGAACAATTTCAGCCAAGGTGCGATTACAGGGAACTACTGGAGCTTTCACTTATTTTGCTGGGAGAGACACCACCAAGGGGAGTCAGAGTTCTGCAACCTGGAGCTCTGCATAGGGCACGCTGGATGGCGAGACTAATATACTCCTTCATATTGTACATGTATCGTCATCAGTTTCGGCTGACAAGAGTTGAAGAAAAGGGAATCTGTCGCTTTATCGTTTTTGGCATCTGTGTGTATCTTAGATCGTGGTTCACGGCTCCAGATCTTCTTAGTGCCGCTAGACATGATCTCCAGCTGGTAAAGAGAATCCAACAATTCAGAGATGTAGACCGTAAAGTTTTTGTTGCCGCTGCAAACGCACTTTCTAGACATCTATGGTATGTTAGCGAGGAACTTGTTGGAGCTGCGTTTTTCGATGATCAGATTTCTCATGAGAAGAAAGTGTTGATGGTTGATGCTCTGTCAGTGGAATCAAAAACAACAAACGACTTCACCAAAAGATTGCAGATGACTATTAATGACATATTTGATGAAATGTCTGTCAAAGACTTTGTGTCTTCGAACACCATGCAATTCTTTGCAATCCTCGGACTGCCTCACTCATTTCTAAACAAGAGACCCTCCGAGTGGAGAGAAGATGAACAGTACAAGAAAGCTTTTGAAGTTGTAAGCGGTATAAAGCCAGTCAATGATTTTGCAGAGAGAGGAGTTGCTTTGATGCAGGATTTTAACAGAGCAATAGTATCGTCTGAAGAACAAAAGCAGTATCTTCTGCAAGTTGTTGAGTACCATCGTACCCAGTATCCAAACCCAAAGAAAGAGACATTAGTGGGAGGAAATACATTTCCTTAACAACTAAATGGTTTAACAGTGACACCGGGTACTGGACATAATAATTTTATCAGGTAGTTTGTAACAGTTTTGTCATGTTTTGCAACAAAATGCTAATACGTATAATTAGGTGGTAGCACAGGACACTTTGACTCGCTTGGGCGACCTCTAAATTTTGTCTATGGTCAATAAAATTTTATCATATTACTTGTTATATATGAGAGAAACAAATAAAAGGGTAAGACCTGAAAAATTACGCGTTTTATTTTTTCCAATGTAATTGGGGACCACCCTAATATATATATATATATATATATTTCATGTGTTGTGTTTATGCGTCATGGTTATAAAAAGCATTTCCGAGTGTTGTAAGGGGTAACTAGCCTATTTCGGCCATGGATATAATATCCATATATATATATATATATATATCCATGATTTCGGCTTAAGGGAAAATTAGAATATATCTGCTAAGGAGTATTTCTACATCCTATATCTTACGTTATTATAAATTTATTAAATTAAAAATAAAATTTTTCTGAAAAATAAAAGAACAGAAAATATATTAGTGAAATTAGCAAAAAGGGAAGCGTCCAAATAAAAAATTAAACTTTAGTTGGAGGCGTGAAGTGTCAAAAAACAGTGGAACATAGATACATTATTTAAGGCAGTATGTCCTAACAATCATTCGTCAGCAGGACGACGTATGATACGAAATATAATCGAACTAAAATTATACTCCGACTCGAACATTGTTTTCATTACATATGTGTGTGTATAAAAAGAACTATCTTTAGAACTATTTAAAAAAAACATTTAATTAAAGTGTGGCAGCATCTATTTGATTTGAACGGTTCTTTGGAGGCCATAGTGATGTCTCTTCAACCGAAAGCTCCTTAAGTTATTCAAGGGCAATTCCATAATGAACATTATTATTATTATTATTAAAATTATTATTATTCTTATTATTAATATTATTGTTCATATTTGGCCATTGTTGCACCACAAATTTATATCCTTGGGTGAGTAATTATTATATGCAAAATGATTTTTAAAAAGTTGGAAATTAAAATTATTGGGTGGAATAAATAAAGCACATATCATATTACGTTCTTTAACATTTTCCCAATAATCATGAAAAATAATTTTGAACTCTTCACATTGAAACAAAAATTTTTTTAAATAAAAATAAGTTGGAAAGTGGAAAAAAATATGACCAGGAAATACGACGCCAGCTAGATAGATATATACAAGCTTAATAAACATTAACGAAATCAGAATTAACAACGAAACAGGTTTCTTATTTTTATATAACTTTCAACGCAAAAAACACGAAATTATGGATTTACAATTATTAAAATTGTCAAATAATTTGAACCTTTTAAAGTAACGTAATCAAATTGGTAACGTTAAATAACTGACTAATTTGTTTAAAGCCATGATGTTAACATGATGTCTACAAAGTATCCTCATAACACAGATATATCGTAAAAAACAAATTCTAAAAATAAATATACAAAACAAAACTTATATAAGAGGTAAGTCTTCAAATTAAAGTTGGAAAAGCGAAGTTTTGTCATAGCTGAATAATATCAACTGACTTAATTTCATAGACATAGTGTAATACCATAACATTAAATGTATACATAATTATAAACGAATGAACTGATGATATAATTAATGATTAACATGATCGTTTTAGACAAAACTACTATTTATTTATCGTCATCATTATCATGATACATCGAATCGTCTTCATCATTGTAAATAAATGTACAGCATGATGCTCCATTGATTTGCCAGGATCAATGAAGTTTATGCAAAATATTAGAATTAATGTCGTCACGGCAATAAGACATTTTTATTGTTTGTTTGTAATTTATTATTTGGTCATTAAAGTTTGGTTCACAACACTACGGAATCGTCACATGCAGATGTACCCAGACAAACGTCGCTGGCCTGCTGGCTGGCAACAACATCACAAACATCGGAGACATCATTTCCAACGTTACTAACGTCATTACCAGCATTACTGACTGTGGCATTAGTAGAAACATTGAATATCGTGGTATCCTGACAGCTAATACTGTTTACATGAAGCGCACACTCATCAACATTTAACAAGCACTTCAAACTCTGAACACAAACGTCAGAAGCTGCCGATGACTCTTTAGTGAATTGCTTGAAGTTGAGGAAACCATGCGGCAGGTCGTCAACAAGATGAAGGTCAACCTGTCCACCGGCTTCCTTGACCTTGCGAGCGAAGTGAATGGTGTCATCGAGCAGCGGATCGTATTTGCACGCCTGCAATGTTAAGTTCAAGGATCTGTGTTGATGGTTCTAATAATTAGATGAAATTGTTGTTTTAAATTTATGGAAACTTTGTTATAAGATCTTTTTTAATTTTTTAATATCAAATAAAAACGTGACAAATAAACTCACACCAGTGTTCAAATCAAAAGTAAGATGACATTAAATAAACTCAAGCTCTTATTCGGTACAGTCTTGTTCACGGATAAAATATTTAAACAGAAGGAATTATGAACTAACAATGAAAAACTAACAATGAAATGTACAGAACAGAAAAACTAACAATGAAATGCACGGGACACAATCCCCTCAGAAGTTCATCACTGGCAAAGACGGGAGACAAGAAAGGGTCCCTGTTGGTTTCTGTTTTCTGGCGCAACTCGGTAAAGTAATCGGTGGTGAAATTTCTATATAAGGCATAATCTTGCACTTGTACAACGTTGTTCTGCTTGAAGATGTTCTCACAATAAAGCGCGTCCACATCAGAATAGAGGGATAAGCTTTTGTACAGCTTGAAATCGGCTGTCGATTTTTGCTTCAGTGGAGTCGTCGGTGTCGAAGATAATGATTTAGAACTTTTCTTTCGTTTGTAAACCATTGAATTTTTTTTGTTTTCAAATGTTTGATCATTTTTAGAAATATTTGGATTCTTATGATCTTCTGCTAGCGAAAAACTGTCTGGAGATGAATCAGCGCTCTTAGTTCCATTATTTTTGATGTTGTCATGCAGCGATTTTTTGCCTGATGACACTTTGGCTCGGTCGTTAAATTTTTCGTGAGAATCGCTATTACTGGTGCTTACATTGTCAACAGCATCACCCTCTTCTTGGTAGTCCAACGAAAACTGGGTGAACTGCTTGTTATCATCCATGTTGCTTGCTATGTTAACAGTTCTCTGCTTGTCTTCATCCGCTAGTAATTATATTTCATCAACAATAAATATCAATAATTGAAATTTTAATATATATATATATATATATATATTGTTTTTTTTGCAATCAACTTTTTGCGCCAAATTAGACGATCAGTTGTTGTATCCATTTCATTTATATTTAGAGCTTTCATGTCTTGCTCGATTGTTTGCGACCGGGACTTCTTTGGACGGCCTTTGGGACGTGTGCCAGGTACTTCAACATCTGCAAGAGAAGTTATGGCACTGTTTCTACTTCGTTGGACATGACCAAACCACCGCCTACCGCAGACGGTGTTGCTGGCATTTGTCCTTTATATCATCTAAACCAGCACGACGCAGGATTTCGGTAGATTTAATGTTGTCCTTCAGACTAATTCGTTGCATCCATCGGAGCATTTTCATGTCGGTTCATTGAAGTTGTTTTTCCAGTTTGGTTGTCATTGGCCATGTTTCTGCACCATTTAACAACACCGGATGTATCACAGATTTATAAAGTCTCGATCGTAGTGGTAGTGGGATGTCACGCCGCATCAATATAGAGGCAAGGAGATGTCATTTATTCCAGGCTGCACGTATGCGTGCTCAAACGGCAGCTTCAGCTGTTCAAGTACAATCCAGAACATCCCCTAGATATTGAAACGATGTGACTTTCTCTACCTTAATAGCTTCAAAAACATTGCTATTTCGAATTTGTTGTTGTGGATTGATGCAAGCAGGACAAACAAAATTGGACATTTTAGATAAAGTACCAATTATTTTTGAACAACGTTTGTGACACCACTGGTTACACTGCTGACACTTGATTGAATTGTTACTTGAAACAGCTTTACAAACTGAACAGGGCCATCGTCCAGTAGCTGTGAATTGAATGGGTTCACCATTGTTCATTGCTTCAATTTTGCTGATGTTGGCTTTGAATCCATGATCGGCGAGTCTGGTGTTCCAATCTTCAAACATCTGTGCTGCATTCTGCTCAGACGTGGCTGTTAAAACGATATCATCAGCATATATTAGATTCCAAATGTCACCAGTGCGTATCGGCTTTGTGATTTCTTCCGTCACAGTTATAAATAACAGTGAACTGAGAATCGAGCCTTGGTGAACTCCAACGCCGATGTCAAATGCATCTGTGTTTCCAACCGTTGTGCTGATAAGAGTCTTAGTATTCGTATACATTTCCATCACAAGTCGAACAAGATATTTTGGAATGAGTTGTCGACGTAGACTCCACCTGATTGCTTCACGGGGAACTCGATCGAATGCTTTTTCGAGGTCTACAAAAATGTGTGATAGTTGTTGATGCTTTGCGAGGAACTTCTCATGCAGCTGCCGAAGGATGTGAATTGCATCAATTGTTGATTTCCCCGCTAGGAAACCAAATTGATAATTTCCGATTGTGATGCACGACGTTAATCTTCTCTCAATGATTTTCTCGACAATTTTCAGGGAGTGTTCTAACAGACGTATACCCCGATATGATGAACAGTTCAATGAATCACCTTTGTCTTTGTATAGCGGAACTGTCATGCTATAGTTCCATTCAGTCGGCATTGAGCAATTTCCCCAGATTTCACGGCAAAGTTGTAGTAACGTTTGGATACCTGCAGTACCAGATGTTTTGATAATGTCATTTGTGAGTCCAGAGGGCCCTGCTGCCTTTCCATCCTTCATAGCTTTCAGAGCTTCTGTAAGCTCCTCTACAGTGATGTCTGAAATCGGACCTTCGATGGGTGGAGCGTCAAAGTTGACATTGATGGGATTTGTTTCGTTTAACAGATGGTTGAAGTATTCTCTCCACTGCACCTTGATCTCATCTTGTTCAAGAACCTACTCGTTTTTGTCGTTTTTGATATATAAGGCACAAACTATGTCTTTTTTCGTACCCTTTGCTTGTTTTTCTATACGATACAGAGATTTCATTTGTTCACATTTACTTTTAGTGAGCCACTCTCTGCACTGATCTGTCCAAGCCAGTGCAACTTGACGTCTTGCATAGTTGTTCTTCTCACAGAAAATTTTATGGTCATCAACAGACTGATTTTTACCATTGCTTGTATGCAACTTTATTTTCAGCTATTGCATTTTGCACACTGTCATTCCACCACCAACTGTAGTTGCAGCGTTTATCAAAACGGTTTTGTATGTACTCCAATCCTTACTGGCTTGCGATTGGTGGTCTAACTGTGTGGCGACAATCTGTTGAAATTTTTCTCGATAAATATTGCTTTTCAGCTTCCACGTTTTGATTTTCCGAGGCATTTGTTTAGACTTATGTTTTGACAGTTCGACAACCAGGTCTGCCACAAGGAGTCTATGTTGGGCGACACATGATTCGCCAGGTATAACTTTGACATTTTTGAATAGCCTTCGGTGTAGTTGCTTGACAGCGAAGAAATAAATTTGCGTGGCTGATGGTCCACTTTTGTATGTTATGAGATGTTCCAACCTCTTTCTAAAATATGTATTCAGTAAACAAAACCCGTGACTCTCAGCAAACTCAAGGACGCGGTTGCCATCTTCATTCCGTTTTCCATAGCCAAAACCGCCATGTACGTGTCAGAGAATGCAGTCCAGAAGTCATTTTTCATCTCTTCTGATTCGCCTGTCTGTGGTGCGTATGCAGAAAAAATAATCATTGTTTGCTTTTTTATGCGAAGCTTGATCCACATGAGACGTGAATTAATCCTTTTAATATCCAGTACTTCTTGGGCTAGCGGTTCTCTGACAAAAATTCCAACATCATTTTTGGCCGTCTTTTGACCATTCCAGAATAGTTTTATAACACCCTCACTCACACACACACACACACACACACACACACACACACACACACACACACACACACACACACACACACACACACACACACACACACACACACACACATATATATATATATATATATGTGCGTGTGTCTGTGTGTGTGTGTGCGTGCGTGCGTAATGGATAATGGAGTTTCATGTAACGTAAATAATTTATTAAGATTGCCATGAAGAATCATCACTACCTGTCACGTAACTGTTGGCTGTTTTTGGTGAGTATAATGATAGTGTTGTTGACGATGATGATGCTTTTGCACGTATTGCTGTTGCTGTTGTATGTGTTGTTGTTGCTCCTGCCGTTGTTACTGTTGTATGTGTTGTTAGCAGCGATGGAGTAACTATCGATGAATGCGTTGTTGATGATGGCGATGACGTATGAGTTGGTGACGAAACATGAGTTGGTGATGAAGTAGAAGGAGTTAAGTTATCATCTGCACTGGAATACACGCTGTCGGTTTTTGTTGGCGATTCTGGTGACGAGTTTGTGGACTTGTCCAGAAGTGAGTGCAACATTGGAAGCAATGCTAATTGGTTTTCGTTTTCATTTTTCTTCTTCTGTGAACTTGTATCTATCCCTAGATAGGCTGCCAAATAAAACACTTTCATGGATAAGCTACAATATTAAGCAATGAAGTTCACGTCCATTTAGTTGACAGAATTAGTGAAAATGTAGCATTAAAATATATAACATAAAAATGTATTGCATCAAAAAAAAACACAACGCATATATGCACTGAACAACAACAAAACACATGCATGCACTAAACAAACAACCACATAACATATGCCTGCATGCATGCACCAAACAAACAACAACAAAATACAGACATGCACCAAACATACGCACAGCAAATGCAGGCACCAAACAAAACAACCACACAGATTATTTCTCACCTCCAACACATTTTGGAAGCATTCCAAGTGGAAGTACGGGATCGAGAAGAGCCAAGAGGCGGGATGGAGTAGGAAAGTAACTTACCAGAAAGCATCCGTACACCGCCAACAAACCATCGGGCACTCGCACTCCTTCGTGAATAGTCCTAAGAACGGTGGATGTGGCAAGATTGGCTCCAGCACTGTCTCCTGCAAAGCAGATCTTGCTACCCGTACTACCTGAAAGTGAAAATGTTAGGAGTGAATGTTTGCTCGAAGAAGTAGTCGATGAAATTTTTGCATTCAATTTAATTAAAACGAACATGGTTTGCTCTACTATTTCAACGACTCAAAGCACTGACTATTATATTAATCTGTCTGCTATTATGTGAACGTTTAAATAATTTCTCTGGCTGCATTATATTGCTTCTATAACATTGTAATTATAATAAATAGTAAAGAGAACAAGAAATTCTTGTGACAGAACAAGTAACAAATACAAACTATTGACTGATAAAATGTAACAAACCGAAAATGTGCAAATTGTTAAGTATCCAACAGTAAGCAAAAAATATCTCTTCCACCTGTCTGGGATAGTGAAATTCAGGGGCCAATGAATAATCAATGCTTACGATTGGCACCTTGGTCTTCAGAGCCCAATCTCTTAAATAGGTCTGCCAAACGTTGGGAATGTCAAAATTTAATCTTTAAAAATCATAATTTGTGGTATAGCTACAAATATTCGTAAAAATGTACGAGAATATAGATGAATATTATTTCAATGAATAAAAATTATTTAAAACACAAATTCAAATATTACAACGCATACTTTTGCATCATCATTAGCATATGATCTGCTAAAACATTAACATATGACCAACTGTCAATCACCAGTTTGCATTCAATCCAAATTTGTATCAATCAATCAATCAATCAATATAAACAATAACATATTTAAAAAAAACATGAAACCATTTCCCCAATTTGAAGACACAAACGCATCCAGAATGACATAAACTCATACAGAGTAACACAAAGACTTAAAGAGTGACACGAACACATAAAGAATTATTGCAAACATTTACAACATGACACAAAAACTTACAGAGTGGGTGGCAGAGGATTGGGCAATGAATCCCCCACCATGGCAGTGAACGATCAGTCCATCGGAAAGAGGGTAGGTGGCTGATGGAGTCTGCAACAAAGTGAACACCATTTCATTTTTGAAAAATTACGTAGAGCGAAAATAAAATAAAACCTAATATAATGAAATTAAATAAATGAAATCGGATTTTTATCTTAATAAAAGGAACTAAAAAGGAGAAGTTTTGAAAAAATGATCAGTCATCATTACTCTTCATTCGAAAATAAGTACAATAATGATAAAATAGTTTACATAATTGCTTCATGCATTCTTTCTTTCACAATAAATAGCATAGGATGATGATATCACGCTGTTAAGTGAGCTAATATGAAAATAATAATTTCAACTTAATTTAAATAAAAATAAATTAAAAGAATTGGAAAAATTATAGGTGATATTTCAAACTGCTAATTAAAATGTTAAAATGTGTAAAGTTAGTCACAAGGTTGTTTTCAAGACTGACATTGTATTTGACAATTTTGTATTATTTGGATTTGGTAGAGTTTGTTTCATGACAAATATAGTCAGTTCAAGTATTTCAATGGTTTTATTTTGAAGATGGCGATGTCTGGTCTGATACTGGTCGCTATCTATATCTGCAAAAACTGAGATATTCAAACCAGCACATGTCTTGATATTGTTAACAATTATTGAAAAACTTGTGTGACGGTTTAGATATCTAGCGAGTGCTGAAGTTGAGCCACAGTTTGATAGAACGAACTTATTAGTTGGTTTCACGTTACGAATAGGACACAGTGCATTAGTTGTTTTGCCCCATCTTTGAAGGTTGGCACTTGTAGGGCGTTGTTGTATGATGTACTTTCTTACAATTGTAAGAAGGGCCTCGAATAGATTTACAGTTGATTTGGACCATCGTGTAATCTCTGGGTCATAGGTGTGTTTTTTTATTGACTTTACAATGATTTCTTTGCACTGTAACAATAATAGTTCTAAGATGTTTCTTTGTGTCTTTTAGTAGATGGGATAATAATGGTTCAGCTGTTGACATTAATAAAGCTATTCATTTCGATATATTTGTATATTTTGTTGCTAACAAATATAGAAACTATTTTATGAAGGACCAGTTAAAGAGTTCAGTCTAAAACTTGCTGGGTTATTAGGGTCACCTTTTTGTAGATTGATATCGTCAAATCTTTTTTCCAGCAGGTAGGGATTGACGATGACTTCTAGCATTTGACCATCTGCTGATGTAGAATTGTACCAAGTATTGGACATTGTAAAAATTTAATATTGATAATTGGTTCAGCGGGCAAAGAAACGCTCTCAACTTGCATTTTCTGATAATTGTTGAAACTTTGTGGTATGTTAGAGAGTTAACAAAACACGGAAGTGATGGTCTTAATTATTTAAGGTGGTTTTGAAAAATTTTTCACATTCTGTTACGTTAAACATGAGTAACGAGTCATTTGTTGGGTCAAACAATTTTATGCATGAAGTCTAAAATTTTTATCCATTTTTTAGCGCATCGGAGTAAGATATTTTTAATCTTATCAGTTTACTTAGTGCTTTGATAAGAGAGTCGAAATTATGATGGTTACGGCCTACATAGTATTTTAAGTTGCTTCAATTTTATTTTAAATAGTTGATTGGCTTGTTATGTTTTAACGTTGTACATGTTAATGGTTTAACGTCCAATAATTAGAAACAAAGTATTTATAGATCGTTAACTGTAGACAATTAGATAAGTTGTCAATGTTTGCAATGTTAGGCAAAATTGTTCTACGCAATTTGAAAGAAAAATTGGATTCTGTCCAATGATTTGGAGTCTTAGATAGCATCAAGCCAGGAAGTGGCACTTGTCGATAAGTGATGGCGGAGGTGGTGGAGGAGGTGCTTGTTGTAATGGTGGAGGTGGTGGAGATGTTTGTTGATGTGGAGAAGGTAGTGACGAGTTGAAACTATCTTCTGGACCGTTTGGTGTTTTTTTCCCAATTTATAAAACTCTTAAACATTCTGCACGAACGTCGGTGCATCCGGAGGCCTTTTATACCTTTGCAGCGTTTACCCCAACAGCAAGTAATGAAATTATTACCAGTATTTAATAAATTATTATCGTTATAATTAGTAGCTAAAATGTTCGGAGATATATTAATATTATCGTAGGGTCATATTTAGCAGTAGTGAGAATTATTATTATTATTATTACGGAAATTTATATACATCGCTTTTTAATTGTTGAAATTATTATTATTATTATTAAGGAAATTTATATACAGAGAATGATGATGATGATAATGATGATGATAATAATAATAATATCACTACTACTAACAACATTAACAATAAAATTAATCAACTGACACCATTTGCAAAGAAATTAAACATTTTAAAATAAATGAAAGAAAACAGAAGTAGATGCAATTAGAAGTATTTTTGCGTATCTTTCAAAAAGTTTAGCAAAACAAATTTTTAGCTAAAATAAAGCCAATCATATCTATCTATCTATGATGAAATAAACTTGATAACATATGATCAACCCTCAAATTTTTATTGTGGAAAAAGTAAAGTGTACCACACAAACACATACAGGCACGTATGCACGCGCGCACACAAAAACCATAGACTTCTATATAGTAAATTATATAGATGTCCATGACAAAAACACACGCACATACGTAGATATATTTTTTTCAATTCAACCAAAGAAAAAATGAAATGAACATAGAATGGAGATTGTGAAATAATTTGAAAAAATAAAAAACTATTTAGTTCACGTTTCTCTCAGGTTGAAAAAAAAGTGCAAATAATTTATTTATATTTTAGTCTTTAAACAATAGCCAACTTCATAAAATGTATTTATTTAAATAATAAACTGAACTGACAAGAATATTAAAAAAACAGTTTTTAAAACATAAATGTCAAGTACCTACCAGGTGATAAACTTAAAAAAATTCTTTAAATAAAAAGTTGATAAGATGTTGAACACTTCTGAAAATCTAACTCATGATTACAATTTGAATGACACATTAATTGAACTTATAAAAAAATCAGATATGTTTATTAGAGGATGTAATCAAAACGAAATAATAAGGCAAAGACGTGCCATCAAACGCATCAACCCGGGTCAGGCAATATAATCCATCCATGTGAATATTGTCATGTTTCATGTTCAATACAAAACATTGTATGCAATACACAGAACCCAATACAAAAAATGTGTGAGCGCGTGTGTGTAACTGCGAATGTACACTAACAGTTTTATTAAATGAACAGAGCAGCTTGTGGAAGAATTTTTTAAGCTTAAAAATTGTAATGAATGATTAGATTCAATCATGCTAGTTTAAAAATTAATTTCAACAACTTAACTAACAATAGCAATCATTACATAATAATAACTATGACATTGAGAATGAGTGATAACAGAAGCAGCAACCGCAGGAACAACATAAATGAATAATTTTTGAAGAACTCATTTAATCTCGACATAAAGTTGAAGTTTAAAAGACGCCATCTCTACCGGACTATAAACACTTGACCTTCAAATGACTCACACGCACACACAACTATACGTGACAGGCCAAACAACGAATCAAAAACTCGAGGCACATGGCAGTGGTGATTCGCTCTGCATTCAAACTAGGTCAATATGTACTCCTTGTTACATACATTCTAATAAGAATGATCACATACCATTCACAATACAAAAACTGTTATTATTATTATTATTCTATTTTTTCAACATATCTAATTATTTCTTGCAGAAATTGGCTGCTTACAAAAATAAAAAAAATACTAGCTTGGAGACAATAAATAAATGTTTTCATTGTGGTTGCTATGATTGCAATTATTAACATTAAAGTTTAAAAATAAATTAAAAAACAATATCTGTTGCATTTTTTTAACCATAATTGTTCGTTCAATCATGAAGAGTAAATAATTTAGCACAACATCCATCCGCAAATTAACATTCCATACACCTAACTCATCTAAAAAAATTTAATGACATTTACAAATGTGCAAACTTTTTACAATCAATCAATCAATCAATCAATCAATCAATCAATCAATCAATCAATCAATCAATCAATCAATCAATCAATCAATCAATCAATCAATCAATCAATCAATCAATCAATCAATCAATCAATCAATCAATCAATCGATCGATCAATTCTCGTTTATAGTCTCCATCCGTTATGGGTCGGACTATAACCATTCCAAAATAATGTTTGAAATTATAAAAAATATGGTATAAAACCCATTAATGGCTATCAATAATTAAAAACTTAGTTAACCAAAAGAAGGAACATGAATATTTATAAAAATATATAGTACACAATATACACAATATATACATATGCACAGCACATAAACCCACAAATGCAGTGAGGATATAACACACACGCAAAAATACAGACACCCATACACAACTACAAACACACACGCACAAATACAGACATCCATATACAACTACAAACACCCACGCACAAATACAGACACCCATACACAACTACAAACACACACGCACAAATACAGACACCCATACACAACTACAAACACACACGCACAAATACAGACACCCATACACAACTAAAAACACCCACGCACAAATACAAACACCCACACACAAATACCCACATGTACTCACTTGACCTTGTCGAGCCTGATACGAAAACAGCCTAACCATAATCGATGATGATTCAGCATTAGGCACGGAAACAGTGATGTGCTTGTTTGGGTCAGATGAGAGAAAGACTTGAACGGGGGGGTCCAATGGAATGTGGATTGTTTTTTCGATGGCAACAAGAGGGCTCACTACTTTTGCTATGCTCTGTTCGAATGTGGGGAAGAAAGTTGATGATTTGTTAGTGCTGCTGTTTACGTATTTTGAAGAGGGTGTCAGTTAAATAGGAGTGAGTGTACAGAAAATCATGAGAATGACTGTGAAATGGCA